ATATATATATAAAATATATATATATACATATACATATATAAACATATAAATATAGATGTAAATGTACATGTATATGTACATAATACATAATACATAATACATTTACATACACACACATATATACATATATAAGCTTTAAAACAATACATATCGCACCTCTCTGAATAAGCGTACTAAGTGATCCACATACGATAAGCAAACCCTCCATAGCCATGGTGAACCAATACCTTACCATCGAATGTTGATAGATATTGGTAATAGGAAATAGATAGACCAATACCTAACCATCGAAAGTTGATAGGTATTGGTGGTAGGTATTAGGTAGTCAATACTTTACCATCGTAAGTTGATAGGTATTGGTAGTAGGTAATAGGTAGTCAATACCTTACTATCGCAAGTTGATAGGTATTGGTAGTAGGTAATAGGTAAGCCAATACCTTACCATCGCAAATTGATAGGGCAGAAACCTGAATGAAACGACGCTCTCTGCCTATGGACGACAAACTTGAAGGATAGCAGCACTGCAACGGGTTACGACAATACCACGCCAGTGATCGTGTAGACTGACATACTCGCACCCACGTGTCTCTGTGCCTATGTGAATGCGGATATACACAAAACCTCTTATAACGTATACGACGTAGCTGTGTGGTTTAAAGGTTAATGAGGCACATGGCCACAGTCATATACAGACGGGACTGAATTGTCAGATAGATCATGTAATCGGTTGTACGTATGAATGAATGCCACTTCAACTCACATACGCAGCGTAGCTGAAGCTCCGGTATCCACAGTTCACCCCCCTATATTGTTGAACGCACAATATCATTGACATTTTACAGCTAGATTGACATTACTTTGACATTTCACAGCAATTATATTGACACTGACACGGACAGACATACTGTGCTCTGCTGAGGCTCAGGTAATGTTGATCGTCGGTCTCATGGAACACATCCATACTCTCTGGATGGGCAGCCGACAGGTCATATCGCCACAACCGATCTGGTCGGTCCAAAGCATCCTACATGTATGGCATACCGCAGTGACTATTAATATATATATATATACCATACCACACAGACTATTGATTAATATATGCATGCGTGATGGATCATCCTACAAATTTGCCACTACAATATACTAATGGAACTCTGTCGTATCAGTATGGGTTTCCTATTGAGAGTACAAAAGTACATTAGGAAATATGTTATCCATACAGAGATGTGAGGTGTAGATGAATAAAGACCAACCGCTCTTATGAACGTAGATCAACACCGTGAGATTAGTCAATTGTATTACAGTACAGTATAGTATATTACAGTATAGTATATTACAGTATAGTATATTACAGTATGGTATAGTACAGTACAGTACAGTACAGTACAGTACAGTACAGTACAGTACAGTACAGTACAGTACAGTACAGTATAGTATAGTATAGTATAATATAGTATAGTATATACTATAGTATAATATAGTATAGCATAGTATGCTATAATATACCTTGGTGAGATAGAATAGAATCGTATCGGTTGCCCATGCGATGTCGCCCGAGCAGTTCTCGATGATATGTTGCGGCAGTGGCTGTGGTGGAGTTCATAATGCAAAAAGAAAAGAAAAACATAGTTAGAACATCAATTAAGCTCATGGTCAATTCAACATTGTGAGAAAAGGAACAACTCTAATAGCACATTGTAAGTGGAAGTGTCATTGTGTAGAAAGTATGAATATATATATATATATATATATACATACATACATACGTCATATATATATATATATACAAATATATATATTATGTATATCCGCCGGTACCTGACTCAGACGTTCTCTGTATTCTATCTTTATCAACACGGCCATACAGTATCAACCAATCTTTGACTTAAGTGTTTCAATACCGATTTCATATCCGTTGCCATAGCAACATAATTACCTACCGTTGCACCGCCATCAGACAGATCGAAGAATCGCACGGTATACTTCTCTGCGCCCGTGGTGTCTTCGGCTATGGCCAATGTGTTGTGGTTGGGTGACTGCTCACACGCGTTCATACGGTAGTACTGTAGGCTGGCTGCCCGTACGTTCTCATCAATCAGTATCTGTAATAGCACAGGTACATGGCAACATGTGTGACAAAGGGAGCGACAAAGGGTTTGTTGTGGGTGTAGCTGCCTCGGCTATCCACAATGTGTTGTGGTTGGGTGATTGCAAGTGTTCATGCGGTAGTACTATACACTTGCTACCCAAACGATCTCATCAAACTGTATCTACAGCGACATAAGTACACGACCAATAGAAGAACGCGATGGTACGGTCACGCATAGATCCACGCGCACGCATGCACACGTCTCTATAACCCACATGTGCACAATTACACACAATTACACACACACACGAATACACACATCCACACACATCCACGCACATCCGCACACTGGCCTTAAGACACACGAGCATATTCTCGCTTGTTCAAACGCATATGCACAACTTCGTCAAAGCAACAGCACCCTTCTTACAAAATCCACACACACACACGTGCGTACGTACATACACCCACTCATCCACCCTCGTTTAAACCCTCACCTGTTCAACTTCATTGGTATCTACAGTGTCGTGAATGGTTGGCGGGAGACCCGCACGTGCACTGGGCACGGGGCGTCGACAGTGAATTGAGTACTGTTGCCCTTCCACTGTACGAGTGTAGTAGTACCAATCTATTGCAATGGAGGATAGTCATATCATACCATATGAGTGTCAGGTGTAACATTCATATCATATCAATGTCAGGTGTAACATTCATATCATATGAGTGTCAGGTGTAACATTCGTATCATATGAGTGTCAAGTGTAACATTCATATCACGTGAGTGTCAGGTGTAACATTCATATCATATGAGTGTCAGGTGTAACATTCATATCATATGAATGTCAAGTGCATAGGGTTCTGTTGTCCTTCCACTGGGCGTGTGTAGTAGTACCAATCTTTTACAATGGATCACATTCATATTGTGTGGTATAGAGTATACCGATAATCTGCAAGTATGATATATAGCACGCATTGCTACAGTAACTTCAGTCGTGAGCTGTATTTTTCTGTTATCTCTGACCCTAGTCCGTTGGTGCATTTTCTTTCATCTTTAAGGGTCTATATCTGTGCAGATGTTGGCACGTGCGTGGCTCTCTCGGCAAGTCTTGGTTTGGTGTCCATACCTAAGCCAATACAAGGCGAGATGCGATATATTTGGACCGACACATGAATACCTACACGCAGCTGTGAGTACATGCTCGCTACAGTAAAAGTGCACGAATCCTGAACTAGGCCTCTACTGGTTACTAAGCTAGCGTGAATCACTTTCAATCCACATACACAGTAAAGCAATACATTCAAAATATCTATTGCAGGCTGACTACGTATTTGTAAGCATGCATACATATACCAGTATACACATACCTGTAGAAATATATTCATACACATACACATATACCTCCGAATGTACATATATAATACATGCTTATAAACAGATATTACGGACATACATACACTTTTATAATAGAAACCTAATCAACCAACACACACAACTTGTCAAACCGTATTCCACCCACCATCCTCTCTGAACGCAGGCTGTCGATCGTCCTCTTTGATTCTACTTTTCATATCATCATAGAGGGTCGCCCGAAGTACCTCTGTGGGGTCTTCTAGACACGCCTTGGTGTAAGCATTCTCCTTACATAGGTATTCGAGCACCTGGAAGATTGAGTGGTAGACGAAAGAGAAAAAGAAAAGAATTCAAAAAGTATGTGGATACTGCGGCGAAGGACGCCACATGCACATCGTTGTGCTTTATAAAGACCTGCCACTTGATTGAAGCTTCCAAATTCCCACTATATATTAATATTTATATATACATACATATACATACATATATATATATATAAATATATATATATATATATATATGTTTATGAACTTATATATATATACACCCCGTATATAGGTACTCCATATAATGTATATATATATACATATGTATGTACCTATATGC